CATAATTATGAGCTCAGAAGCCCTTTTCGGGGGGTTCTGTTCTATGGGGGCTAGGTGAAATAATGGACCGATTTTAACCATTTTCAATAGGCTTCGTCCTTGGGCCAAAAAAGCGTGCATGGACAGCCAGCCAGCCAGACGGACGGACGGACATAGCTTAATCGACTCAGAAAACGATTCTAAGCCGATTGGTATACTTTAAGGTGGGTCTAGGATGAATATTTTTGTATGTTACAAACATCAGCACAAATCCAATATACCCTCCCCACTAAAGTGGTGTAGGGTATAAATACACATTAGTAACAATTTTAATTTATATGGTAAATTACATTGTATCTTATAAACCACTGATCCGATTTAAATGAAATGTACAAACAAATTATTGAGGAGGATCAGGCCTTACTGAAAGTATCTTTTGTCATCACAATATTAAAATAAAGGTGGAAAACAGCGTGTTAGAAGTGAACTCTTCAATAATTATTTTAAAGTTTCCAGCAACTATAAATGAGATCAAATTTAACTGATCATAAACTTCTCGTAATCTATACAATACAGTAAAGCTAGATCCATATTGCAGTACTAATTAAATTTAAGGGTTTAATAGATATAATTTAAATATAGTAGTGGACAAAAGTTAAACAATTAAACTAAAACAATTTTTCCATTATAACTTAGTACTACCATTAAGTTTTATAATACTCTACTCTACTATAAAAAAAATTCAACTTCAGCCAAATCGGTCCATATTTGCAGATTTGTGAAGCTTTAACATCGAAGCTTTATAATCGAAGTACTTTCATTTAACACCACGTATTTCACCTTGTATTTTAACAGGGTGGCAACAAAGTAAATTTTCGGTAAAGCTGCAGTTTAAGAAATACAGGGCATTTTCCATATAAATTGAAATTGATTCCACTTTGATTTTTTCTGTTTGTTTAATTTTTCATACGATTTTATATAAAAAAAACTTGCTTTAAATTACGTTTTGGTTAATAATTCCTGAACTAAACGAGCCTTCATGTCCCTTTATAATTTTTAATACGGGGCTATCTGATATATTTGGCATTGAACAATATACTATGAAGATTGACCCTTAACCGTTTGGAAATAAAATACGATTTTAAAGTCTTTAAAACGAAATCAAAAATTATCCTGTACTTAAAGGAATTTCAAAGTTATAGGCAATTATATGTATATACTTTTGGACAATTTAAAATTTTTTTTAATTTTTCAATTTTTTATCAAAATATATTATGTAATTTCATTATTTTAAATTTCTCTTCAAATTATCTTGAACTACTATTCGCAACATTCGCAAAAAATAACATTTATTCGCTTTCGCTAAATTGGCATTCGCAACAACTCTACCATAATGTAATATTATAGCCATAAGTACAACAGCAGATAAGATATTATTGAGATATTTTTTCATACAAACTTAATTTTTCAATGGCTTAAAAATGGTTGTACTTGAAAACATCTGATTTTCACAGGGAATATATAAAACACTCCAATAAATGAAATGACATCAAAAAGTGACCCGTGTCCTTTTCGAAATGTCTGTGTCTGTTGTTGTTCAGCATTGAATTTACATATGTACATACAGTGTCTCTCATAATTATTCGAATTTGGGTAAACTATAAAAAGAAACCAAATTTAATAATATATTTTGTGTGCAAAATAAATAAATTAATTTGTTATATTGTCTAGATGGTCCTTATGTTTGATATCACGCTTTTTAAAACTTGAAAAATTTGCATTGACTTAAATTAATTGTCGATTTTAAAAAAAAAGTTCATGAAATTGCCTCTCAAAAGTATACGAATTTTTCCTGTATTTCATATTTGATCATATTATACGCAACACAAATTTTAGAATCGAATGGTTTTTATGCGTAATATTGTTTTAAGGGGTTACTATCCACGGAAAGGATATATTTTTGGCCCATTTGGTCCACAATTTTGGGGAATTTGTACATTTTTTCAAGTAATATCATTAAAATGGCGATTTTTGGCCATAATTGTAAATTTTTCTCCTTATTTCCAGAGATAAAACAAAAATTTGATATTGGGACTTAAAAGACGCCTTGGGGTATCTAAAAATAATATTTTTTGTTACAAGAATCTGTATTTAAACGTTCCAAGATAAATTATTCGGATCATTCTTCTTTCGCTAATTCAATATATTGGAACTTAAGTCCATTTTTATAATACTAGGATCAACTATTTTCGGGGAAAGTTTTCTGGTATATATTCTTTTAGATATCAGCTTTTATACATTTTAAGTTTTCAATGTGTTGTGGAAGTGTACATCTCCAAAACATGCCTCTAAAAAACACCATACAAAATAGTAAAATCATTATTTTTATATATCAATGGCCTCCATGCTGCATGGCACGATATCATTATGATCTAACTCAAAAATGTTGATATGTGTTTAAATATTATTTACTATGATCAAATTAAAACCAAAATTTTGGACTTACAGTGTTATTGTAAGGGGCAACATAAGCGTGAAAGTTACGAGTAGTAAAAACTGAAATCTACTATATAGGATGACGTTTTGTTAAGACATGTTTTGGGGTTGTATACCGCTATAATATATTGAAAATTTTAAATATATTAGTGCCAATATGTACATGAATATACACTAAACAACTTTGTCGGAAAATATCGTTCCTAGAGGTACGAAAAGGGACTTATGATCCAGATTATTCAATTAGAAACTGAAAAAAGACACCAAAACTACATCCTTATAACAAAAAATATTATTTTTAGACACCCTATGGGTTCTATTAAATTCCAATATTAAATTTTGGTTTTATCTCTGGAAAAAGGGTGAAAACATTACAAATATAGCCAAAAATCGCAATTTTAATGATATTACATGAAAAGAGGGTACAAATCCCCCAAAATTGTGGACCAAATGGGTCAAAAATATATCCATGCGGTTGATAGTTACCCCTTAAAACAATATTAAGCATAAAACGATGCGATTCTAGAATTTGTGTATCGTATAATATGATCAAATATGAAATACAGGAAAAATTCGCATACTTTTGTGAAGTAGTTTCATGGACTTTTTTTAAAAAAAGCACAACTAATTTAAGTAAATGTAAAGTTTTCAAGTTTTAAGGGGCGTGATATTAAAACTAAGGACTATGTAGACAATATAACAAATTAATTTATTTATTTTCCACACAAAATATATTATTAAATTTGTTTTTTTTTCATAGTTTACCTAAATTCGAATACTTATGAGAGACACTGTACATACTCCAATAAAATAACATAGCCCAATTCATGATCTGGTGTATTTTTCCAATGGTGTTTATGCAATTGTAAACTCCGATTCCAAAACACAAAATACACTGGTTTTTGCTTTAAATCCGTTCTTACCTCTATCTCCGGTGCTTCTAGAAGACAAATTAGAATTATTTTTGTCGTTCTTAGTCCATTTTTTGTTAAATTTAATCATTTTTATTGCTTTTTTCGTTTCCATTTGTTTTTTTATTGTTTTTTATTTTATTTTTTTTTTTTTTAATTTTTGAACTGTCAGTTTGCATTGCAAAATGTTGAGTAAATAAAAACTACGTTTCTAAGAGTATTTATGTATATTTTGTTTGTGTTGTGTAAAAACTATTTTGCTAATGTAATTTTAGTCAACGCCAAGCAAAAATTTTATTAGTTCCCCAGCAAAAAATAACTGATGTCATGCTTTACAAACGACATCTTAATCACATCTAAAAATGCGATTATATATTTTTCGCTTTTATAAACCAAAAATTTCCTCACATGCAAAAACCCAGTTAAAAATGAGGAAATGATGTAAAAAAGTCACTAGAAACAACATATTCGAAGTATGTACTTCAAATTTTGGTGAAAACCCAATGAAATTTACATAAGACTGTGTTTTAAGAATGTGGTTTATTTTTGACTTCCAATTATCGTATTTTTACTGCTTCTATAAATAAGATTAGATCCAATTCATAGTTGTCAATAATGAACAACATCCCTCCAATGACACGCTAATGTAAAATTCATAGGTTTTTCACCCGAATTTGAAGCACTTCGGGTTACTAGTTGTGATGAAAATACTACATCTTTTTCCACACTTTTTTTTCTGGGTCCATAACTAGATCTAGAATGCATGATTATAGCCGGTACTCGTTCTACTTTGGCGTTGAAACCAATGGATTTTGTTCGAAATTGTCACCTTCGGAACTAGATCTAAGGAATCGTATAATTCAGTTGTATGTACAAATATTCATATGAATGCGTTTTCTATTTCGATAAAAATTATTTTGAACTATTTAATTTTTGAAATTTTTTTAAACTGATTCCAAGAAGTTGTTTCGAAGTTGTTTTAAAGAACAAAACTCTTCAAAATTATTTTAGAACCAAAACAATGATCCGAGGAACGGGTTTCAGAAGTAATGGCGACATCACTAGGTAGTTGTTTAAGAATCTGAAGTGGTTCTGTTTGCATTCGTTCTAAATATTATTGTCTTCTTTTTTCCAAGTTCTAAATTTATTTTGTTTTTAAATTAAATTTAAATTCCAATAAAATTTTATTAAGGCCCATTATTACAACTTGCGAATAAATAAATTTACGATTTTATAATACCGATAATTTGTTTATCGTTATTATATGTATACGAGTTATCTGTATTATTAAATCCTACTTTTCGTTATTGCCAAGTTGTAATAATGGGCCTTAGAATTTAAATTTACTAATTTTCTATTATAATTAAATTTTATTTTTTGCTTTATATAAACCTATGTATGTTTTTTGTTTTTTTTTTTATTTTATTTTTATTAATTTGTTTTTATTAATTTGTTTTTATTTTATTTTTTTTATTTACAATGATTTTATTTAAAAATATACATGTGTAAAAATAATATAACTGATGGCTGAACTAAACAAAACCAATAATGCTGCTAATATTAACGCTGATTCATTGGGTCAAACCTAATAATTCCATATTGAACTTAATTAAGTTATAAGTCCTGAACTTATACGTGAAGTTGAATCACGTATGAATCGAAATTATTTGCCGCCAGCGCTAAAATTACAGAGTAATACATCTGTTAGTTTAAGTCAGTCACCCCCAAAGTCCTCTGGTGGTCATTCTTATGTAGGCGGTACTTATTATAATTCTTCATCAATTAGTTCTCCGTACCCTACAGTGGGGTCTTCTCCAATGTGTAATCCGCCATCTTTATCATTAGCTTCGGCATCTTCTGCCCCTTCTGCAGTTAATTACCCTAGTAGACGAATTTATGGCAAAGCTTGCAAATTGCCACCTGTTCAAGAAGTTGGTAAGTTCTTTCTTTGCTCAATTAATGTATGTTTTTAAATTGTTGTATTTAGCTTTTTTGTTTATTTTTATTGAAAAAAAAACTCATGTTAATTACTTAAATATTTACATGTCCGTCTCTCATGGATACTAATAACATACATCATTTGCTGTCCATAGAAAAGACGTTGTGATTATTTTTTATTTATATTTGCTTAGGTCGATATAGCCCCGTGAGAAGAGCATCTGAAGGATCTAAGACTCAATTTCAAGGACCATTGCAAGAATGCCAATATCTGCAAAAGGGTATTGCACAACGAAATTTTCTGGTAGCGCCCAGCCCACCGCTTTTAGAGAACTCAATAAGTTTACCTGGTAAGTCTGAAATATATTCATTGTAACGGTAAAAAATATTGTATTATTTATATTCAGGATCTCCTATACATGGTAAACCATCAAGTACACATAATATTTTTCGCCGCAACGGTGGTGGTAATTTATCGTCTGTTAATGACATAGAAATTCCAGAAGATGCGTTAAAATCTATAATGCCTTTGTTAGACCAGTTAATAAAAGAGCAGCGTATAACCGTGGAATTAGTAAATAAAATTTTGTTAACCAGACAAATACCAATGGATTTAGCTGGACACTTTGGTTTATTGGCTCATAGTTCGGCGGCTAGTAGTGGTAACCATATAGAGAATGTAGGATCTTATTTGCAACAACAAATGTTTAGTCTTAGTGTTTCTCCCTTATCCCTGCCAAATTCTGCAAATTCTAGTCACTTACAAATGAGTGGAGTAGATCAAGCTAGCGGTGTTAATACGGCCAGTAGTGGTCCCTTAGTTCAGCAACAAATTTCTCAAAATCGAAAAATTTCTGAAGGAGACGCCATGGAAGGTTTACATTCCAAACAATTACTTGATGTAGCTTACGCTCAACAAAGTAGTGGTGGATTAATCAGCACACATCCCGTTATCGGTTCCGGTTGTCAGTCACCTGTTTATAGTAGTTTCAGTGGAACGACATCTCCGAATCCCTATGTGCCAAATACGTCTTTGTTTTGTGGTAGCAGTCAAGGAGCCGGCGGTTCATCCCCCTTGCATCAAATCACTAAAGGTATATCATATCTCACTACTGGCGGTGGTGGGTCTATAACACGAGGTACATCAGCAGCTAGTGAAATTACAAATCAACCTTTAGATTTATCTATGGATGTTTGTAATTCTGAAGATTCGGAAACACCACAGGGTTCATTAACACCACAGAACTGGTTTGTACCGTCTTCGCCTTACTACGATTTAAAACCACTAAATTTATCACCTATGCAACCTGTTAGAGTTGTTTCCACACCACCATCTTCTCCTAATTTGTGTATAATACAGGAAGAAAACGCTAACGGACAAATGTGTCATACAATCTCTACTGGCACCCCTTATGTCGGCTGTACTGGAGGTGTTACTCCAACTCCATGTCCGGAAGTCATAACTTTAGGAGACGATAACATATCTCCTGGCCAACAACTGTCACATCCACAAATATGTTTAACAGATGTGCAAGGAAGTGAAATCACTCTTGTAGCACTATCATCAGAAAACAGTAGGGACAGTGATTGCGACTCATTGGACCAAAACAACATGTCCCTAATGTCATTGCAAGGTTTAATAATTACGGAACCTTCTAGCGATATGCCCTCTATAACAAGAGGTATTGGACGTAAGACTAGCTTGGAGACAGATGTTAATTCAAGTGTATCGCAACCATCAATAAGCTCCAATCAACCAAATGATAGAAGAGGAAGCGATAAATCTTTAGGGTTTTCAGATGACTCATTAAGCAATGATTCTAACAATCTCTCACCATGTCAAGAACCATCGGCCTCATCAGGCTTTAAGTCCGATTCGCATTCAGAAATAGGTGATCACACAGAGGGACATTTGACTCCTGATTCCATGTGTGACTCACGCCGTATGTCAGAAGAAATGTGCTACGAAGTTCCATTACCACACGAATGTTCAAATTTGGATACAACACGAATATTACAAATGGTGAAACAAACTATTGACTCAACAATGCCACCAAAAGGGTTCACCCTTCATAATGCAGATGATTGCACGACATCATCATCTGCTACTAATACAGGTAATTGGCCAGAAACTAAATTGAGCAGTGCATCTACAGGTACAACTGATTCTTCACTATATTCCGTGGATATGTCTACGTCTTCAACTGCTACAAATTTAAGTTTGGAATACTCTGGAGGTTTGCAAATTGAAGTTCAAGTTTGTGAAGGTCGTAATAGAGACAATCAGACTACCAGTAAAGGTATTAAACTGCGGCGTATATCTGGAGATCAATTTGAATATGGAAAGTTATGTCAGCAGTTAATAAGTCAACTCACTATGCAACAAGTAGCGGTTTAAAAATAAAAATAATCCATTTACACCGCTTCAAAATACCGACAATTACCTTTGCACTGAATCTAAATATCCTGGCTCAAATTTAATTCAATTAAATACGTCATAAAATTAAAAGACTATAGTTTATTTAATTATTATTCCAATTTATATTAATAAAAACTTTATATTTAGTGCAATCAACTTATCCCTCTGTACAAATGCAAATCTATCAATTACATGGCTATCAACGAGAAGTTGCAAATGAAAAACTTGATAAGTTTCATGTAGAGAGTTATTCACTAATATATAATTTGAAATATGGATAAAAAGTTGTATCAAATGCCTGCATACATACATATGTTCATTAGCGTGCTCCCTTCCGTGTAGAGACAAAAAACCTAGACTATTGACGGCGTTTCGACAATAAACACATTACATTTAACTTGTATATGCAGCAGGACAACGTTTTAATGATTTTCCTTCTGAATATTCTTACTTGAAAAATTGTATGTACATATGTATAATGTCAAACATTTTGTTATTAAAGGTTGGAAACGAAAAAAAATTACATTTTCAAATTAAGATATTTTACGATGTTATTCCGATTGCGGGAAATCCCAAGAATATAAATATATTTTTTATTTTTGTTCAAAGTTATCAGCCGTTAGATTTTTACTTCGACTGATAGTTTTGAACAAAAATAAAAATTATACATATGTTTTTATATTCGGTAAAAAAGCAGAGTGTCAGAGTACAAATACAACCTTAGGGCTGCGGAAAATCTAATTTTGACAACTTAAATCGTAGAAGAAATCCACAACAAATTCAAATTTATTTTAATTTGTTTACGAATTTCCTCTCTTTCACATTTAGAGTTGCCATGCCATTCATACTTTATATGAACAAAAATCATGTGTTAAATAAATAATCTATGAAATACAAAAACAAAAAACAAATAAAATGGCTACAAATCTGCATCCGTAGGTTTGTATTTTTACTCTCAATCTCGAATACTATTTTTATACAACTATTAATTTATATTGCTTTCTCTTAATTACTTACTGCCTTATGCAAAAATAATTATTAACTTAACAATGCTTATTAAAACCTGTTTTTATATGGAAAAAGTGTGTAGTAAACCATTGTTAACGTTAATAATCGTTTTTGCATAAGGCATTAACTCATTATCTGTTAATTAGCTTATAATTTTAATAAAAACATAGAATCCCAGCAAAAACATACATTGGGTTAAAATCAAGGTTGGCAACCGATACCATTTTTAGTACCGATACCTATTAAATACCGTTTAAAATTGGTATTGATACCGATAACAAAACAAGTTTATCATTATGATAACGGTATTAATACCAGTATTAAACCAGTAAGTAATTGGATAGTTATATGTTTTCAAAATTGCAATCATGTCTGTGGTATTGTGATGACGACCACTTATTACAAAGCAATGTATTAAAAACCAACGGGTCATTACGAAAACATGAACAATTTTCAGCGGTATATGTCTAATGTTTCTTTTTGAATTAATAAAAAAAAATATCGTAGAACCACAAAAGTATAATATATATTCTGGGTGTGTTTTAAGATGATCTGTAACACATTATAGGGCCCAAACGGATGTTCTTTACTTGTTATTGAAAATAGGCAATATCAGTCCACAATTCAAGGGTCTTCCTAAATACCGTGTATACGCACATAAATATGAAATTATGCAATAATCATAATATATTTTTGCACAAGTTTCTTTTAAGTATCCATAAGTCATACAATGCCATAAATGTGACCTTATAAAATATCTTTAATATTCATATTGAACTTATAATTATTAATATCGAGATAAAATTTGACATAATCTCCAATGAAGGGACTATTCGAAAATTCAGAATGTGCGCTCATAAATTCACTAACAGTGATAAATTTCGATATTAATAAGCAGAATAATAATTTTAACGATTTTCTAAATTCTATGATAATAGTTCTATTCTATAATAAATACCGATTAAAATGGTAAAATTTATTTACACATTAACATTTAAGTCATTTTAATACGGCGATAATATTGGAGCAAGTACTTACCCCACTCACTCACAAGTAGAGAGCTATGTCAATACTTAATACGATCGCCTGCAAATAAGGAGTTACTCGTTCTACAAAACGAAAAAAAATCTTTTTTAAAAAAACAACGTTCGAAAACAAAATGTCAAGGCTAAAAAGTACATACGAATATATTAATGCAGGCGGTATATAGTAGTCATTGAAAAGTAAGTTCTTGCGTAATTACGAGTCATTAATATGTTTTGCTGGGATCTTCAAAAAATTTCAAACAATAAAAAATTTATCTTATTCTTAATGTTTGAAGTAACAAATTTTGTAAATTTATATTCTCCTTAAAATATTAACATTGCGCAAAATTTTCAATTGCTTTACAATTTTAACGTTTATTAGCTGACTGATAAACATTGGACCAAAAACAAAAATGGATTGGTATTCTCAAGAGTTCACAGAATCCAAAACCTATTAGCTTTTTTGAATATTGTTTATACGGACTTAATATCTAAAATTAAAAATGTAAAATTTGTTTCGTTTCCATCCTTTAATCCTATATGCAAAATAGTATATATTACACAAAAAAGTTACTACTCGAATAGATCTATAACTTATAATTACGTAAAATTGTACCGAAATTTGTGAGAAAACAAGTAAGAGTTCTATATCGTCATATGAAATCCAAAAAGCCCCAAGTTACAAAAAAATCAAAATCGACTTTTTGATTGATTATGATGCATCGTATCAAAATACATGTTCCTACTGAATTTTACACTCCTACAATTAAAATCAACGTCCCTATCAAAGAAATTTTAAAAGGTTATGTTCTAAAATTACCTTGAAATTCATGAAAATTTTAAAATTCTTTTGAATTTTTAACTTCGAAACTGTGAAATGTTATAAGTTGGCATCAAATGAAACAAAAATGGCACTTTAAGCGAATCCTTGTAATTTAGAGATTATTTTATCAGTTTTAGATTTTTTTCAAAGAAAAATTCCAATTTCCTAAAATCTTTATGAAAACAAAGAAGCCTTATGACTTCCATGTTTCGGCCTATTTGACCAACAAAACCGATTTGAATTTACTATTTTTTAATGTAACTTAGGCTCTTTTGGGTTTCAGAAAAAACAAATTCTCAAGGGCGTAAGTTTCATATATCCGTAAGTAAACCAAAAACCGCAAATGTTTCTTCAAATAATAATTTTTAGTTTATTTATCATTTTAGACGGTTTTTTGCTTCTCCTGAAAAATTTGTTCAATGTGACTTAGGGCTTTTTGGATACCATATGACGATATTCGCCTTTGCCGAATCTTATATACCCTTCAACATAGTGAGTTTAAAAAAGTTTAATTTTATTAAATTAAATATTTCCCGGCTATTACCAATAACTTAGAAATAGCAAAACAAAAACAAAAATATATTGTGGGAATTATAAACTTATATATTCCCTTCTCACGAGGTGAAGGGTACAAAAATTAAATATTTTCCAAAGTTTTTTTTAATTTACTTACTACATTTAACTATTTCACAGATTTTAAAGTTTAAATGTAATAACCAACTGCGTATATTTTTGCATTTTTAGAGCATATTTTACGTATTTATAGCATATTTTGGAATTTCACGTATTATTTTTTTATTTTCGTTATTTTTCATAAATTTTTTCAAATTTAATAATTTTTAAATTTGTTGTGTGATTCAAATAATTTTTAACCTGAACACAATACTTTTTTACATTGACGAGGTCAAAAAGGTCTGAAAATTATGTTATAAAAAACAACATTTCGTGTCTTTATGTTTAAACTAAATTTTGAAATAGTTTAAATGTTAATTTACCTTCGAATAACCATTAAATAACAGAAAAAAATAACCTAAAAATTACAAATCGTTTATGCGCCTAAAACCTAAAATATGCTTTAAAAACTCAAGAAACGCCCTAAATATGCTATTAGAACCAAATTGTGTAAAAATATGATATTTTGGGTAAAATATGGCAAAATATGCTCTAACAAATCGATGTCAAACTTATTGAATTACTCCGAAATGTATAAATATATGGTCCATGAATTCATACGAAGCCCCTTATTTTGGTTTCCCTGATTATAACCAGCAACATATATTTATTTAGTTTTTATTCCAACTAGCTGCTAATCTTCTAATCAGAATGATGGCAGCACGTTAGCTAGCATAACAATAAACTGTTTAGAAGAATAATTCAGGCAACCAATGGCTAGCGCTTTAATATCGATATCATATTTTTAGGGCCGGCTTAATGTACATTCTTTGAGTTATGTATATAGTAAAAACATTTTTATTGCAAAGCACAATTATGCATATAAATCTCGTTGAAATGTAGTAACGCATATTAAGTATGTATGTATATTAATTAATGTAGTATAAGGTTAAGAAGAAATCTATTTACAGTAATATTTTCTTTATGTTAAATGAATTAAAAAACATTTTAGCTAATTCATGTCATTCCAAACTAGGTATATTAATGATATGTATAAATTTGTATATTTATAGGAAATAAAATAATTTTATGGAAATATTTCCCATTTTACTTTTAAGTGATAATTTTTTCTTTATCAAAAAATATGCAAATAAAGCGAGAGTTAAAATAACTCATTGTTAGTTAAAAATTGAACCATATAATTTTCAGTATTCCTAAGTTCATTAATTTTGTTTTAGTTTAATCATAAGTATTTAATTTTTTCTGTATAGCACTATTAGTGTAGAAGTAAACAATACATACATAAATATATTATGAAAACATGTAAATTTCTAAGTGATTGCATATATATGTACATCATATGTATGTATATTAATTTTTAAGACATTAAATAAAGACTGCTGTGATTAAATAAAATATGTTTAAATTATAGAAAAAATGTTATGTAATTAAATTATTTAACTTTTAATGTCTCTTAATAAAAACAATTAAATTTTAAATCTCAAAAATAGTTGTTGTTTTTTACGAAATTAACCTGCCAGCAAGAATATACCCAGGAAATACTTTACTTGCCCGGTAACCAGGCAAGTAATATTAGAACAAAGTGGAAGTGCTTTTTACAAACTTTTTCATTGGACAGATGCTCTAGATAATTGGCTACAAATCTTATTCAAAACAATAAATAATGTTATTGATAACGCAAAGTGGTTTAGAAACTTTTATTTAATTTGGTGTCTCTGAAACTATTGGATATATCGCAATGAAATTTGACAAATGCTCTAGATAATTGGCTACAAATCTTATTCAAAACAATAGATAATGTTATTGATAACGCAAAGTGTTTTAGAAACTTTTATTTAATTCGGTATCTCTGAAATTGTTGGGTATATCGCAATGAAATTTGAGGTGTTTTCGAGTTGATTGACAGTTGTAGGTGATTGAGGGCGGAATGGGGCCCAGTGGATAACCACACAAAGTTGATCACCCCGGGTATTAATTTTTTTTAAATCCCCAAAAATCCATTTATTTGAAATACAACTACTCCTTGATAAGGTCTCCAAAAAAATACGCTTACATATGTGGGTTATTTCTTTTGCTTTGAGAGATACATTTTATGTTTATTTCTTTTTATTCTTAAATTTTCCCTATCTATTTTTAGTTTTTTAAATGTGGCGGGCGTACGGAGTTTCGTATTTTTTTTTAATATCATCTAGATTTAGTGTTTATAAACCGGTTACCCGGTTAACCAAAAAAACCGGTTTTTATTGCATATTTCGGTTTTTCGCAGACCGTTTTTTTTAAACATTGGTTTTCTATTAACCGGGTTATCCGGTTTTAAAGTCTAACCAGTTTCAAAAAATTTAAATTTTTAGTACCAAATTATATGTTTTTATGGTGAGTTTTTATTGTGATTCACATTTTAAAAAATTTTGGATAGATAATTCTAAACAAATTTTTCCGTTTGTATATATTAAAACAGACCTAAAATTGTTAAACAAAAGTTAGGAAATGTTAAAACTATATTATGTATAAAAAATGGAGATTTACAATATCAGACAATCAGGAAATTAGTAAAAAGTTGGCATTTAAACCAATAAAATACTAACTATTTATACTTGATAGTCGTGGATATACTTTTTTTATTGGTATAGCTGCATTATATATTTATCCCTCCTATTACAACTTCCATATACCTAACGAATCAATAATATCATCAGATCTGTATAAATTTGTTTTCTTACGATATATTTATATACATACATACATATCTATACTAAAAAGTGCAAATATCTTATTAAGTATGTAATTCATAATATCCTATTATGTATGTAATTCGCAAAATGACATTTTTCAACTAAATATTAGAATATTTTAAAGATTTCCAAACATTTCGGTTAACGGGTTTAACCGTATTTTTTATGCTAGGTTAACCGACAAACCGGTTTTCTAGAAATGATCAATTTTCAAAATTCGAAATAAAACAAAAAATGTCTCAACAGTTATCTTGTCCCTATAAAAAGTTAGACGCATTCAAAGTTGCAACATGTTGAATGTGTCGTATTTTTTAGGTTTTTTCAAAAAAAATCCCTGTATTCTTTCTTTTATAGAAACAAATTTAATTCGGGACAAATTACATTTAAGCAGACACATCCCCAACCAGCTCTATCCAAACATGGTCAATTTTGAAAAAAAAATATTTTGATTTGAATAAAAATTTTTAAAACGCAAAGCACCGATTCTCACAACGATCCCATATTTATATAGGCCACATATCGCACACCCAGCACAAAAGTGACTCAACTCAAAAAACATTTTTTCAGAAAAGGGAACAAATTTTTTACAAATTCTGAAAGACATTACGTTTTTTTCCTCAACAGTTAACAACAACAACATACACTGATATCTTTTTGGAAATAAACAAACTTATTTTAGGTTTATTAACCAATTTTAGGCAAAATTCACGAAAATCGTATTCATAAACATTTTTCCAGTGTTCATTATTGTGCATTTTATTTTTACTGTTATTGCTTTCAGTTAAGTAAACATATAAACCTATATTTATTTTTTTTTGTAGTATTTTTAGTTAGTACCTTTAATTAGCCATATAAGGCCCTAAAGGGCTCGGTTATGTAAATGAAGAACTAATAAATAAAAAAAAACTTCAAATAGCTTAAAATACCTTCAATAAACCATTGACAAATATACGAATTTTATTGTAGTCTCGAAACTTTGCCTTTTGATTTGATTTGCCTTTTTGATAGTTGGTTGGCTAAATATAATGCCATAAAGTACTTAATTACGTAAATTATACTGATTAGTGAGTGTTATACCAATGCAAAATATATTCGCCGGCGTTAAAATTAGGCAAATATAAAAGAAATTTATCAATATTTGCCGAAATTTATCAAAAATTCATATACATATACTTATTAGGGTGACCGATTTTTTCAAAAACCCGGTTTCGAATAGTTGACATTAAAAAACCGGTTAATATTTTTCAAACTCAGAAAAACCCGGTTGACCTGTTTTTTATTATAAATAATAAAATCTATTTTATTTTGAAGAAATTAACGATAATGTTTAAATTTGATGGCCCGAACTGATATTTAACAGTTTAAAAGATTATAAATTTAGATCTAGTCGTCTGATTTATATTACTTCTTTAATGGAAACAAATTGGAAAAAGTGGGACACTTCTGTTAAATATAAGGAACTATGTAATCCTAGCTTATTCTCAAATCCCCGTTTAGACAATTTTCTTAGGCATTCCAACACATCAATAATATTTTAGCCGCAGATTGCTTTAATGTTATTGGAATATAATCTTAAGATTAATAAAATTTTATCAAATAGTTATTCCAATAAATTTTACAAAGAAAATTTGTTAATTAATTAGGAAAATTAAAAAAGTTTAATCAAAGGTGCGTTAGAAAAATATATGTACTCTAGTTCCTAGACTCCAATATTTTTAAACTTTAGACGGGCTGTTTTATTACTTACTTCAAAATTTAATTTAAGTAATCTTTGAATACAAAGCAAATAAAAGTATTCGAAACCGGTTTTTCCAGTTATAGGCTTTAATATATTTTTCTGAAGAGAAATTTATATAGGGGTCAATTTGGGTAGCGTCAATTTGGACAGATCATCAAAAAAATTAACAGAAGGATTTTGGATCTTATAAAACTTTTTAATGGCGAATTTTATCGCTATACATGCTTTTTAACCTTATATGAGGGTAGGGGGTAGGGTGATCGAATCGGTTTTTTCTGCTTTATCAGTGTCGGTTTTTTCTAAATGTTGATTTTTCGAATATCGAATAACCCGGTTTCACTTTTTAAAAACCTGCTTCGAATACTTTTATTTGCTTTGTATTCAAAATTTACTTAAATTTAATTTTTAAGTAAATAATAATACAGCCCGTCTAAATTTTAAAAATATTCGATTCGATTAACTAGAGTATATTATTCTAAAGCACCTTTGGTTAAACTTTTTTCATTTACCTATAGATTAGGATTATATTCCAATTACAATAATTTCTTTGAGGCTGAAATATTATGGAAGTGTTGGAATGCCTATGAAAATTGCCTAAACAGGGACTTTAGAATAAACTAGGATTACATAGTACCTTATGTTTTTCCTAATTTTTTTACATTAAAGAAATAATGTAAATCAGACGACTTATAATATAATATTTTATATTATATATGTTATAATATTTTATATATGTTATAATATTTTAAACTGTTAAAAATCAGCTCGGGCTATGTTTTTTTAATCAAATTTAAACATAAACATTAATTTTTCAAAATTTAAATATTTTTTTAGTTATAATGAAAAACCGTTTTTTTCTGAATTTGAAAAATATCAACCGGTCAAATGTCAACTATTCGAACTAATTGAAAACCGGTTTTTCGAAAATGTCGAATAATCGATCAGCCTAGTAGGGTCAATTATGAAGCGATCCTCATAAAATATGAATTATAAATTTTAGTTCTTATAAAACTTCTTTATGTCAAATTTCATCGCTATACTGATAATTTAAATCGAGTTATGGGCGTTACTCATTTTCTGGCCTTGGCCATTACTTGGTACCTCTACCAAGTACACAGGTGAGTAGAAGTACCGGGAGGAGTTTTCCCTCACCAAATGGAGTTCAAAAGTTAAAAATTATTATATTTATAAGAAATCAGCATATAAATATTTATGTTTTGGAGAACACTGTAACTGTGATCATCCATACGACAAATTTGACCTTACAGTGGACACACATATGTATACCTTAATCATATTTTCTGCTGATAAGATGATGGTAACTATATAATGCTAGATCAGTGCTAAAACAGTCTACTGAATATGCTGAGGTTAATACTTTCAACATTTACCAGAGTATTTAAAGCTACAAGTTCACAGGATGCATTCGTGGACAGTTACCCTTTTAGGACATTAATGGGCAAACATATCGAAATACATATTTATACAAAAAACTTCATATTTAATACCAAATAGAACACAAAGAATATATACCCAAAAAGAGAACCTCTCGGAAAGTAATTTATCTTTCATAGTTTGTAGTCTTTTGTGAAATTTAAAATATGAATAAAAATCTTAAAAATATTTTATTTATTGAAATTAAAAAAAGATGTCTATTAATTTACGTACATATATGTATGTACATTACATTTACCAGAATGTAAGAGTTTATTTTTCTTGAATCTATCGAAAAATACCAATCAGAAACATCGTTTGTAGACTTATATAGCATGGTGTAAATATTTCCGCATACCCGACTTATACATATATCCACATACACAATGTGGATATTGTGATTAATATCATAACGATATAATTGTGTCTTTTGACGCGTGCCCGAAGAATGAGCCTTTCCCGATTTATTATTACCTTCATTACCGACAGACTTATACTGTTTACTCCGCTTTTTACATCTTTCCACAGAATTCTCTCTGCTATTCGTCAGCCATATCCGCGCGTTTGCCAAAGACAATTCCCTAATCGTAAATACAAAAAAAAAAGACAATTCCCGAAAAATGGAAACCAATGAGATGAAGTTTAAAGAACAATGATTCTGTGAAGAGTTGGAAAGAATTGTTGAAAATTATGGCAAAATGCCTCTCTGAAGTTATTCACAAAGTCCAAAAAATTCCAGCAAAAATTTCCGTGGTCAGCAATGAATTGATAGATATTTTCTTTTTATTCAATGAACTCACTGGAATAACAGTACATATTAATTAGCAAAACAAATACTCAGCAACAAACAGAAGACGTCCAAAAACTTCTAAAGAAGAATGCGTCTTGTCTAGTAATTTGTTTTATTTGTTTATGTTAAATTAATAGAGACTCACCACACAACAATCGAAAACAGCTGTTAGAGTCTGCTTTTTCCCAAAGGTTTGTTTTGTTAATGTGTATGTAAAACCCTTCTATTTCCAGTGGCAACATTTTTTGTCAGTGATGTCAACTTTTGCAAGGAAAGAAACGCGCTAAGAAACAGTTTGAAACGGCTTGGGTACACATCAATATGGTTGACTCAAACGTTAAGTTTTTTTATACTGCATATATACTTGTGAGTTTTTTTTCACTAAAACCAGGATGCACTCATAAGTTAAAGTCAATTCAACAGCTGATCACTCATTATACGCTACACCACTTTAGTGGGGAGGGTATATTGGGTTTGTGCTGATGTTTGTAACATACAAAAATATTCGTCCTATACCCACCATAAAGTATACCATCGGCTTAGAATAGTTTTCTGAGTCGATTAAAGATTTGCCAAATTTCATAAAGTTTGACCCTAGCTCCCATACAAAGTCCCCTTCAGAAAATTACTTGAAAGTTTGATCCTAGCTCCCATACAAAGTCCCCTTCAGAAAATTACTTGAATGTACAAAATTAACTTATAAACACAAATATCGCAATGAAATTCAGCACAAATAAATTATATAAATATATTCACAAAATTTTATCGGGCTTGGCCCATATTTGCACCTAGTCCCTATATAAAGCCTCTTTCAGAAAATTAGTTTTTCATCCATAAATTGCTTAAATGTATCGGAACAAGGTAATATTGAAGATAAATGCTTCATTATGAAAAATAAATCACATTTAATATTCATAACTGGTGTAGGGTATCATATAGTCGGTCACGCTCGACTATACTTTCTTACTTGTTTTTTTATTTGAGGTAGTCACAATTGTCAAAGTACACCATTTAGAGTTGCCCCAATTAATTAATTAATTTTTTGAATAAGCTATAATTTAATATTGTATTCTTATTATATTGGTGGATTTTTTTCAATTCATATATAATTTTTAATAAATTGTATCTTATAATACATATTTATTTTACATGGATAAATTTTTGGGTATGTGGGAACCAAGTTGATATGTTACCATGTCGCTTTACAAACTACAATGTGAAACTTATTAAATGAAAAATACACTTTTCAACTTTTCTACAGAAGCTATAACGCGTGTTGTGTATGTAGTAAATGAGCGATATGTGTAAGTCAATAAATTGAAAATGTTTTATAAAAAGTACCAAGAAATGGATACGATTTTTACCCCTTAAATGTCCGAATTTTCCAAAAGTATGAAACTTATATTCGAAATTCTTCAATAAGGGACGAATGCATATTAATTTTATTTTTATACTCACTGGTTTAAAGATACATGTTACAAGTATATTCCTGAAAAGGGAAAAATTACCAGACACCTGTCCGCTTATTTTTTTTTTTTTTTTTAATAAACCAGGTTAAGTATTAACTTTTTTTGTATATATGTATTTCAGTTTGTGAGATATGAGGTTACCCTTTTTAACCCCTTAAAAATTCTAATTCCTCCTTAGTGGTTCTATAACACCAAAACTACAAAAAGGCTTTGCGATGACGAATCAGTCAGGAATGTGACTCTTTTATAAATATAGGGTAGATGGATTAAAAATAACGCACTAATGTGTTTCTACATGCGGTTGTTAAATAATCGCTAATTACTAAAAAGGAGCTAAATTGGCATCCTTGTTTTATCTTTAAGTTTTAGCATTTTTATGAAGTAAAAACTAATTAAACTTAAATGAAAAGTAAAGTAATAAATTGTTCGGAGTTTTTAGTTGGCTAAAAATCAAGAAGTAGGGGACAAAAATGATTTGTCGAATGTGCTTAAATAATATAAATGAGTTTATTAATATTTTCCGTGAAACTGATAATGAACACAACATATCCGAAATGATCGGTAAATATTTTTGGTTTAAGGTAATTATAATGAAATAAACTAAAATTATGTTGATTGGAATATTAAAAACACTTAATACCGTAGAGGAACTCGTTTGGAAATATATGGTTAATACAAAAAATTCTTAAATTTAGGGGTATGTAAAAAGTGTGAAATTTTTTATGATAGTACATTAAAGGCCTGCACAAGACAACAATTTGCGCGTCATCATAAGCACAAGACATTTTTTAACATTTGCAGGCCTTTTATAGTCCTTTTATACACGTGTAGACTTATACACGTGTAGACTTATACACGTGTAGACTTATACACGTGTAGACTTATACACGTGTAGACTTACATACTCTAAACTATGCCAAACTATGCATGAACGTTTTTTAAGAAGGTATGTACGTCAAAGTTATCGCAGTTTTGTAATACATATTTTCTAAAAATATTGTACTAGGGTGTTGCGAATGCTAGTTTAGCGAAGCGTAAGCAAAAATAAATTTTATTTTTTGCGAATGCAAATAGTATAATTCAAATTAATTTAACATTAATTTTCTGGCTAAACTAGAGGCGCTAGGGCAAAACAAAAGAAAATCTATTATCACTTTAAACACAACAAAAACAAAATGAATCTTTGAGTCAAAAGTCCAAACATAAAAGTCCATTTTCTGGCTAAACTAGTCTAGGCCCTAGCATCTAAGCTAGGTGCTAGGGCAAAAAGAAAAATAAAACATAGCTAAACTAAAGGCACTAGGGCAAAAAGAAAGAAACTCTAATCACTTTAAAAACCACATAAAAAAACAAATTTTCGAGTCAAAACATAAAACATAGCTAAACTAGAGGCACTAGGGCAAAAAGAAAGACAATCTGTGATCACCTTAATTTCCCACCAAAAACCGAATTTTTGAGTGAAAACATAAAAGTCCATTTTCTGGCAAAACTAGAGGCGCTAGGGCAAAATGAATGAAAATCTGTGATCACTTTAATTTTTCACCAAACGCCGAATTTTTTAGTAAAAACATAAAAGTCAATTTTCTGCTTAAACTAAAGGCGCTAGGGCAAAAAGAAAGAACATAGGTATGTGATCACTTTCATTTTTCACCAAACACCGAATTTTTGAGTGAAAACATAAAAGTCCATTTTCTGGCTAAACTAGAGGCGCTAGGGCAAAAATAAAGAAAATCTGTGATCACTTTAATTTCCCAACAAAAATCGATTTTTTTAATGAAAACATAAAAGTCCATTTTCTGGCAAAACTAGAGGCGCTAGTGCAAAAATAAAGAAAATCTGTGATTACTTTAATTTCCCAACAAAAATCGATTTTTTGAGTGAAAACATAAAAGTCTATTTTCTGGCTAAACTAGAGGCGCTAGGACAAAAATAAAGAAAATCTGTGATCATTTTATTTTCCCAACAAAAATCGATTTTTCGAGTGAAAACATAAAAGTCTATTTTCTTGCTAAACTAGAGGCGCTAGGGCAAAAATAAAGAAAATCTGTGATCACTTTAATCTCCCAACAAAAATCGATTTTTTGACTGAAAACATAAAAGTCCATTTCCTGGCTAAACTACAGGCGCTAGGGCAAAAATAAAAAAATCTGTGATCACTTTAATCTCCCAACAAAAATCGATTTTTTTTAATAAAACATAAAGGTCAATTTTCTGGCTAAACTAGAGGCGCTAGGACAAAAATAAAGAAAATCTGTGATCACTTTAATTTCCCACCAAAAATCGATTTTTGAGTGAAAACATAAAAGTCCATTCTCTGGCTAAACTAGAGGCGCTAGGGCAAAAATAAAGAAAATCTGTGATCACTTTAATTTCCCAACAAAAATCAATTTTTTGACTGAAAACATAAAAATCCATTTTCTTGCTAAACTAGAGGCGCTAGTGCAAAAATAAAGAAAATCTGTGATCACTTTAATTTCCTACCAAAAATCGATTTTTTGAGTGAAAACATAAAAGTCCATTTTCTGGCTAAACTAGAGGCGCTAGGGCAAAAATAAAGAAAATCTGTGATCACTTTAATTTCACTCAAAAAATCGATTTTTGGTAGGAAATTAAAGTGATCACAGATTTTCTTGCTAAACTAGAGGCGCTAGTGCAAAAATAAAGAAAATCTGTGATCACTTTAATTTCCTACCAAAAATCGATTTTTTGAGTGAAAACATAAAAGTCCATTTTCTGGCTAAACTAGAGGCGCTAGGGCAAAAATAAAGAAAATCTGTGATCACTTTAATTTCCTACCAAAATTCGATTTTTTGAGTGAAAACATAAAAGTCCATTTTCTGGCTAAACTAGAGGCGCTAGGGCAAAAATAAAGAAAATCTGTGATCACTTTAATTTCCCAACAAAAATCAATTTTTTGACTGAAAACATAAAAATCCATTTTCTTGCTAAACTAGAGGCGCTAGTGCAAAAATAAAGAAAATCTGTGATCACTTTAATTTCCTACCAAAAATCGATTTTTTGAGTGAAAACATAAAAGTCCATTTTCTGGCTAAACTAGAGGCGCTAGGGCAAAAATAAAGAAAATCTGTGATCACTTTAATTTCCCAACAAAAATCAATTTTTTGAGTGAAAACATAAAAATCCATTTTCTTGCTAAACTAGAGGCGCTAGTGCAAAAATAAAGAAAATCTGTGATCACTTTAATTTCCCAGCAAAAATCGATTTTTTGAGTGAAAACATAAAAGTCCATTTTCTGGCTAAACTAGAGGCGCTAGGGCAAAAATAAAGAAAATCTGTGATCACTTTAATATCCTACCAAAAATTGATTTTTTGAGTGAAAACATAAAAGTCCATTTTCTGGCTAAACTAGAAGCGCTAGGGCAAAAATAAAGAAAATCTGTGATCACTTTAATCTCCCAACAAAAATCGATTTTTTTAATAAAACATAAAAGTGCATTTTCTGGCTAAACTAGAGGCTCTAGGGCAAAAATAAAGAAAATCTGTGATCACTTTAATTTCCTACCAAAAATCGATTTTTTGAGTGAAAACATAAAAGTCCATTTTCTGGCTAAACTAGAAGCGCTAGGGCAAAAATAAAGAAAATCTGTGACCACTTTAATTTCAGACCAAAAATTTTTTTGAGTGAAAACATTAAAGTCCATATTCTGGCTAAACAAGAGGCGCTAGGGCATTTTCTGGCAAATTTAACGATTATTGTTAATTTCAAAGCAGCCCAAATGCAGTCACCCTACACCACACTAATGGGAACGGTATTTTGTTTACGTCTTAAAGTTTGTAACACCCGCGTCGATGTAATGATGTAATCCGCCCATAAATAAGCCTATTGAACTTTTTTGTAAGCGGTACATGCTATACAAGAATAGGGTATTTATAAAATTCGACTCAACAAATTTTATATATACGAAATTTTGACTATATATTGTTATAATGAGTAGTACATTCATTAATTAAGCAAACATCAATCTCTTGAATATAACTTCTACATTAAAAAATACTAAATATGATGTATTCGGATACATTTTGTACTTTCATATTTTTGTTATTTTATGTAAACAAAAATAAAAATACTCATACAATTGTATTAAATTCACACAGAACCTGTACATGTGAGAGAGTAATATTTCTTATTCTCAGTTTCAGTTCTATTTATTTTTCTATGCTCTAAACTATGCCAAACTATGCATGAACGTTTTTTAAGAAGGTATGTACGTCAAAGTTATCGCAGTTTTGTAATACATATTTTCTAAAAATATTGTACTAGGGTGTTGCGAATGCTAGTTTAGCGAAGCGTAAGCAAAAATAAATTTTATTTTTTGCGAATGCAAATAGTATAATACAAATTAATTTAACATTAATTTTCTGGCTAAACTAGAGGCGCTAGGGCAAAACAAAAGAAAATCTATTATCACTTTAAAAACAACAAAAACAAAATGAATCTTTGAGTCAAAAGTCCAAACATAAAAGTCCATTTTCTGGCTAAACTAGTCTAGGCCCTAGCACCTAAGCTAGGTGCTAGGGCAAAAAGAAAAATAAAACATAGCTAAACTAAAGGCACTAGGGCAAAAAGAAAGAAACTCTAATCACTTTAAAAACCACATAAAAAAACAAATTTTCGAGTCAAAACATAAAACATAGCTAAACTAGAGGCACTAGGGCAAAAAGAAAGACAATCTGTGATCACCTTAATTTCCCACCAAAAACCGAATTTTTGAGTGAAAACATAAAAGTCCATTTTCTGGCAAAACTAGAGGCGCTAGTGCAAAATGAATGAAAATCTGTGATCACTTTAATTTTTCACCAAACGCCGAATTTTTTAGTAAAAACATAAAAGTCAATTTTCTGCTTAAACTAAAGGCGCTAGGGCAAAAAGAAAGAACATAGGTATGTGATCACTTTCATTTTTCACCAAACACCGAATTTTTGAGTGAAAACATAAAAGAGGCGCTAGGGCAAAAATAAAGAAAATCTGTGATCACTTTAATTTCCCAACAAAAATCGATTTTTTTTAATGAAAACATAAAAGTCCATTTTCTGGCAAAACTAGAGGCGCTAGGGCAAAAATAAAGAAAATCTGTGATTACTTTAATTTCCCAACAAAAATCGATTTTTTGAGTGAAAACATAAAAGTCTATTTTCTGGCTAAACTAGAGGCGCTAGGACAAAAATAAAGAAAATCTGTGATCATTTTATTTTCCCAACAAAAATCGATTTTTCGAGTGAAAACATAAAAGTCTATTTTCTTGCTAAACTAGAGGCGCTAGGGCAAAAATAAAGAAAATCTGTGATCACTTTAATCTCCCAACAAAAATCGATTTTTTGACTGAAAACATAAAAGTCCATTTCCTGGCTAAACCACAGGCGCTAGGGCAAAAATAAAAAAAATCTGTGATCACTTTAATCTCCCAACAAAAATCGATTTTTTTAATAAAACATAAAGGTCAATTTTCTGGCTAAACTAGAGGCGCTAGGACAAAAATAAAGAAAATCTGTGATCACTTTAATTTCCCACCAAAAATCGATTTTTGAGTGAAAACATAAAAGTCCATTCTCTGGCTAAACT